TTCTTGGATACACTCCCCATTTCATAGACATACCTAATCTTTCAGCCTGTCCACCCATCTATCCACCCATATACCCATGTTTGCCTTCATTGACAACGCAGTACTGTATGTGCAAAAGGGTTCATATTTGTTGTCTGTACCTCCCATGTGCCTCTCTATGTCTTTCTCATCCTCAGTGCCGCCATATTGGTCACTCACATTTGGTACATTGCCCTTCTCTTCACCCAAATCAGTACTTATCTCTGTCTAACAGCCTTCCTTCCCATCCCCTCCCACTCCTGGTCACCAACAAAGAAAATTTCCTTCCATGATAAACTTTTGAAAGGCAACAAGTTTGAAGTGTGAAAATGATTCTTGTAACAAACAAGGGGAACATTTTTGGGGGAAATAAAGCTTTTGTTAGGCTGGTTTAAACGATAATTTTAGTTTCACCTTTCTATTTGTGTGCCACTCTCATATGGTCCACTACTCTGTGCATGTAAAAGCAAACGTGGTAAGATTCATACATGTTCTTAATTACATATTTGGGAGGAATGCACAAAGGTGTGACCAGGTGGTCTACAGTACAGTGATTAGTGACTGAATGGTTTTTTCTGGTTCTTAGCAACAGCAGAAGCAAGTTTTGAAGATAATTTCAGTAGTTGCTTTCTTCCTCTGCATGTTTTACTTTTTAGACTCCCTTTTATCATGCCAAAGTAGCTGTGGTGGCACAGTGGTTAAGCATTTGGTTGCTAACCAGAGGTCAGCAGTTTGAACACACCAGCTGCTCTACAGGATGAAAGATGAGGCACTCTGTGTCTGTAAAGATTTACAGCCTTGGAAATCCTATGGGGAAATTCTGTTCTGTCCTATAGGGTTACTATGAGTTGGAATTGACTTGATGGCAGTGATTTGGTTTTTATCATGCTCAGCTATAGCCTACCTTTCAGTGATAATGTTTAGAAATGATGATTCTGAATGTTTTGCTTTAAATTTTTTTGTGTGTCGCTGATTTTATATTCACGAGAACTGAGAAATATTTTTATGCAGGCTCTGTGTCCCTGTGAAGGGCACATTTTGACACAGCACTGCTCTCAGCCTCTTGTAGCTTCTAGAGCTAAAGTCCCACTGCTTTCTTTCTGAACCAGCAAGGCCACTGTGAGCAAGTGCAGCTGGGATGCATCACATATCAATAATGCTTACATTTGGGGTTGAGGAAGGACCTAGAAATCATTATTTCAGAGCTTGTTTCTGTCATAACCCTTAATTTGTGAGTGATAGGCACTCGTTGGCTTTCTGTATGTAAGTTAAAAAAACGAAAATGGGGGAAAAAAGTTAATTAAATGTGTTTTAACAGTTATTATCTTCATATAGTTTAAACATTTAAAAGGTAGACAGAAGCACACAGTAAGAAATTTCCCATTCTGTCTCCCATATGCCCAGTTCTCTTCTCATCCCTAAAACAGATTGTCCATTAAAAGTTTCTTTTATATCTTTTCCAGTGGTTTTTGTTTTGGCCTATATATTACTTTTTGCCTTGTTTTGCACTTTTGTTGAATGGCATACCATTTATACTGTTCTGTACTTTACTGCTTTCTATGTGTATATATTCTTGTATCATTTGAATATTTGTGACATTCCAAGAGTGTTGAAAGAAAGCAGTTGTGCCCAGAGTTTCTTCCTAGCCCTAAAAAAGGAAGAAATTGTGTGTGTGTGTGTGTGTATTTTCATCTTAAGTTACAGGATTCTAGTCTGCTAGAGCCACTGATCCAAGTATTATCAATCCTTTTATTTATTAGTTAATTTGTAATCGATTGAAGCACAAAATGTAATTTTTAAGATTAGGTTATCGTTAATTTTTTTGTTTTGTTTTGTAGTCTGCAATCCGAAGATCTACTTTAAATAGATCTTTTACTCCTGTGTTTTTGGGAAGTGCTTTGAAGAACAAAGGAGTTCAGCCTCTTTTAGATGCTGTCTTAGAATTCCTCCCAAATCCTTCAGAAGTCCAGAATTATGCTATTCTCAATCAGGAGGAGTAAGTCTTCAAGATGTTACCACATTTATGTATTATAAAGGGATTTAGAAACAGTCCTAGTTACGTTATGTTTATGTTTTTGTTTGTCCCTAATCTACAAAAATCAATCACTGTTTTTATTTAAATTTGGCATACAGGAGATATTTATCATATACCTACTCCTCACTTACTATCTTGTTATCTGACATTTCACATTTACAATAGTAAAAAATCTACTGTCTGACTATTTTGTTCATTAACCACATAGGTCTGGCAGTAATAAATGCTAAGGTGCAGGGTGGGAGTAATGCCAGCTGTGATGATTAAGGTTATGTGTCACCTTGTTTGGGCCAGTTATGAAATGATATAATTCAGCGGTTATGTGATCATGTCATCCTTCATTTTGTGATCTGATGTGGTTATTCTATTTTCACATGACACCGATCTCTGCATAATGACCTGGTCTTTGGAACTTAACCATGTCGATAAGTGGGGAGAGGGTATACTAGTTGCTGTATCATATATAGTTTGTGAATTAAGGGTATGATTTGGTTTATTAATCTGTCCAGGTTTCCATCATTAGAATATTTTCTAGTTTGAAACCAGTTATTTTCAGTAGGATTTTTTTTAAAAACTTTAATACGCAAACTTGTTAACTCTTACTGATTATTTTCCTTTCTTTTTCAACCAGACCATTTCTGTGGTTTTCCATCAACTCTGAGCTGGTCACTATCTAGTAGCAAAGCCATGACAACTTACTTTTACTGATCTCTTTCAGTGAAATTTTACTTGCATGAGATCAAAATATTTAGCATGTTTTCTCAGATATTACTCTTTGATGAAATAAATTAATGTAAAAGAAATGTCACATATCACATCTCATAAATTTATACTTTCTTTATTTTAAGTGACTCAAAAGAGAAAACCAAAATCTTGATGAACTCCAAGAGAGATAATTCCCATCCATTTGTAGGCCTGGCTTTTAAACTGGAGGTAGGTTGCTTTCTAATATATTTAACTACTTTTTTTTGTCTGAATTCTTAACCACTAGGCCACCAGTGCGCCTCAAATAGCACACAGGTGATTTTTTTTTTTTTGTTCTTGTAATATGAGAGTCTCTGGCTCTTTTCCGTTTATTTTATTGTGATTGTTGAAATTTTGGACTAGTTGTCATCATTTTATTTTTTGTTTTCTATTTTGCCCCATTTTCTATGGTTTTTTTAATGTTAGTCTTTTTTTTTAAGTTTATTTTCCTTTTCTAATTCATTCTTCTCTTACTTTTCTCAATATTATTTACCTAAAATTTTCCTAATTGTTGGACTTTTAAATTGTTTCCAGGTTATCACTAGTATATATAATATCACGTCCATGTCTAAAAATTTGTCCTAAGAAACTAATGAGTGAAGGACAGTGTATTAAGGTTAGCTTCAGTTTGCTCTTCTTGTCCTTGCTTATAAAAGTGAAGTCATACAGAACAATTGACAATACCCGTGAATTAGTTTGAGTAAATAAATTGAGGTACGTTCTTACAGTAGAATATTATTCAGACTTTTAAAATTTCATTGAAATTGCTTTTTAAAAAAATTTTATTGTGCTAACATACATATATAATTTGCCATTCAAACCATTTTTAAGTGTACAATTCAGTGACACTATTACAGTATATTTATAATGTTGTACAATCATCACTACTGTCTGTTGGCAAAACTTTTCATTGCCACAAACAGAATCTCAGTACCAATGAAGCAATGACTCCCCATTTCCACCTTCCTGTAGCTCCTGGTAACCACTAATCTACTTTGGTTTCTGTGTATTTACCTGTTGAACATATTGCATGTAAGTGGACTCACAATACATGTCCTTTTCTAGCTGACTGATTTTACTCAGCATAGTTTTCAAGGTCCATTTGTTCTGTAAATATGTATCAGAACTTCATTTTTCTTTATGGCTGAATAATATTCCATTGTATGTGTATACCACCTTTTATTTATCCGGTCTTCTATTGAAAACAGTGAGTTATTTCCACCTTTTGGCATTTGAGAGTAATGCTGCAGTGAGCACTTGTGTACAAGTATCTATTTGAATCCCTGCTTTCAGTTCTTTCGGATTTATACCCATGAGTGGATTTTCTATGTTATAAAGTAATTCTAGGTTTAACTTTTTAAATGCCAGACTTTTTTCCAGCGGCTGTATCATTTTACATTACCACCAGCGACAGCTGAGGGTTCCAAATACTGCACATTCCCACCAATATTTATTTCTTGTTTTGTTTGTAGTTTTGTTTTGATAATAGCTATCCTAGTGGGTTTGAAGTGCTATCTCATTGCGGTTTTGATTTGCATTTCCCTAATGACTAATAATTTTGAGTATCTTTTCATGTTAGTCATTAGCCATTTGTGTATCTTCTCTGAAGAAGTATCTGTTCAAGCCCATTTCTTGATTGGATGGTTTGTCTTTCTGAGTTGTAAGAGTTCTTTATATATTCTACATATTAAACCTTTATCAGATACATAGGAGTCCTGAGGTGATACATTGGTTAAGCACTTGACTGCTAACTGAAAGGTCAGTCATTCGAAGCCATTCACAGCTCAGCAAGTGAAAGATTTAGTCTGCTTCCATAAAAATGTACAACATAGAAACCTTGTGAGGCAGTTTACTCCACCCTGTAGGGCCACTGTGAGTCGGAATTGACTCCATGGCACAAGGCTTGCTTATTTTTTCATCAGATACATACATGGTTTCCAGATATTTTCTCCCATTTTATAGATTATCTTCACTTTCTTGATAATATCATTTGATACACAAAAGTTTTTTTTTTTAATTGTGATTTGGGTGAAAGTTTACAGAGCAAATTCACTTTCCATACAGCAGTTCACACACATGTTCTCTCATGACAATGACTACAATTTACCCCCAGTGCAACAGCTCTCCTCCTACTTCCTCCTGATAGTTGCTTCTTCCCTGTGTCCATCCCTCCATGCATTCCTGCCCCCCGAGCTGTCTCCCTGTGCATAAACAGACCCTCTTTCTTCCATGATTATTCTCTCTAAGGAGTGTATCTACCTCAGGTACATGTTCAGCTCATGCCTGTCTTTTGTTTGGCTGGAAGCCACAGGTGTAGGTTGAATCCCAGACCTAAGGGGCAGCTAGGGACCATAGTCTCAGTGGTTCTACCAAGCTCTATCAGACCAGAAAACCTGGTCCCCCTTTTTTTTGTTAAAATGATTTTGAGTTTAGTTCCACATTGTTCTCCCTCTCTTTCCAGGATCTCCTCCATAGATACCCCCTCTGAGTGGTTGACAGTGATAGCCAGGCACCATCTAGTTCTTCTGCTCTCATAGTTGTATAGGCTGAGGATCGCATGGTATACTGGTCTTGAGGACTAATTGTTTCCATGAGTCTTTGGTTTTCTTCATTCTTCTTTGCTCTGGATGAGGAGAGACCCATCGTTGCATCTAGATGGCAGCTTGCTAGCTTTTAAGATCCCAGTCGCT